TTTAATTTGAGTCTTCTCTTGGGTTGTTTTTTCTTGTAAAGGAAGGAAAGCCTCATGTTCTTCAGGTTGTGAGACGAGCTGAGCAACACTTAGCGAATGACTTGTAAGCCTCTTGTTCTTCAATTTGTGAGACTACTTGTTTTTATGGTTTCTTGTTTGTTATTTTTGTTTCCTACCTCAAGGTCCCGGGACAAGGAGTATCTTCCTCTTGATGGACTTTCTGAATTTAACAAATTGAGCGCCAAGCTCATTTTAGGTGATGATAGGTAACAGATTCACTCCTCTTTTCTCTCATCCTTTTTTTTCTTATGTTTTCATTCCGAGGTTTGATTATATTTTCTTTTGTAGGTTGTATTTTATGTTATTTTTCATTCTCTTATAAATATTTTTTTATATATTTTTTTCAGTCGTGCAGTGGAAGAGAATAGAGTTGTTACAATTCAGTGTTTGTCTGGTACTGGTTCTTTGAGAGTTGGAGCTGAGTTTCTAGCAAAACATAACCACGAAGTAAATATTTCTCATTATTTATTTAATGCCATTAGATTTGGTAAAATAACTTTTAAATGTTGGTCATGCTCTACATTGTTATCTAGTGTTGTCACTGTGCTACAGTCTGATTCACACTTATGTGATGCATGTTATTGAAAAAAAAGCAAAACTAATCATATACTCACAAACTTGCGACAAATCTCAAGAGTTCTTTTACTGACAATATTGTGTTTCTCGTTGCTTCAGCGTGCCATATTCGTTTCAAACCCAACGTGGGGGAACCATCCTAATATTTTCAGTTTGGCGGGTTTGTCTGTAGAATATTTCCGTTACTATGATCCGAGAACCCGAGGACTAGACTTTAAAGGTTGATTTATAATTCTGTCCACATGCAAACTCTTTGTCTATCATATTCATCATTGTCACTTTTTGGTTGCTTCTATATGGATTACTCATTGATTGACCCATTTAGACTCACTAAATGATGTTTAGTAGTATTACACCAATCATAAATTACTACTTCAAAATAGGCATGCTCGAGGATCTTGGCGCTGCACCGTCTGGAGCTATAGTGGTATTGCAAGCTTGTGCCCATAACCCCACAGGAGTTGACCCAACACTCGAGCAATGGGAACAGATTCGGCAAGTTGTGAGATCTAAAAGCTTATTACCCTTCTTTGACAATGCATATCAGGTAATTCATAAAAGTATACATTGGCCTTGTTTCTTTGTTCTACAAACAAACGAAACATCTGGGTTTATATTGATTGTTTTCCATCTAATTTTCAGGGTTTTGCCAGTGGTAACCTTGAGTCAGATGCACAAGCGATTCGTATGTTTGTTGCTGATGGAGGTGAATGCTTGATAGCTCAAAGTTTTGCCAAAAATATGGGTCTTTATGGAGAGCGTATAGGCGCTCTTACCATTGTAAGCAACCAAACTTACTATATTTCCATACGCAATTGTAAAGCTAGGTACCTACGTTTACAATAAAGCAGAATTTTGAAAAGTTTATATATAATCTTTGTGGGTCTAATTATGTGAAGGTATGCACCTCAGAAGATGTGGCTATGAAAGTAAAGAGCCAACTGCTACTTGTTGTGAGACCTATGTATCTTAGCCCACCTATTCATGGAGCATCCATTGTTACCACAATTCTTAAAAATAGGTATTTGTTATTCTAGGAATTAGAATAATTCTCGAATTGGTTAAAATGCTTATGATTATGAGCGTGAATTCTAATACGGATCTTGATATTGATTCTTGTTGTCAACTATATATTTGTATAATGAGGGTTTAAAAACGTAATGATGCATCGATTATCCTAACTAGGCTAATAGCACATAAACCAGTAGATTGCATGTCTTTCTTCTTTTTCTTTTCTTTTTGTAGATTACATGTCTTAATTTGTCTTTGTGAATTTTGATTATTGTATATAAACATTTTTGGCAGTGATATGTACAACGACTGGACGGTTGAGCTGAAAAGAATGGCTAACCGCATACTTAGCATGCGCAAACAGTTATATGAAGCTTTACAAGCTAGAGGTTTGGTTTAATGTTTTTTTTTTCCTGAAACTTTTCAATTGAATCATTCGTAAGTTCTGATCCGTACCCTTTGTTCTTGAAGGCACACCTGGTGATTGGAGTCACATAATCAGACAGATTGGGATGTTTAGCTTTACGGGGTTAAATGAGAAGCACGTTCGCTTCATAGCCAAAGACTATCACATTTACATGAATTATGACGGGTGAGGGACATTATATAACTTATCGTCAAATATTTTTAAGTAGGGTTAATAGCAAGAAATAATACCATATCCAATATATTTTTCTGAAATATAAAAACTTATATATAATAGAAAAGAGGTTTACTCCAATATATGTTTTTCAAACAACATTTTTGTTTTAAACACAGAGAAATGTTATATATTCTTCTGAATATAGAGGAAAACAGTAGATTCTAAAGGAAAATAATAGAGGTTGGTAGAAGTAGATTTAGAAATTTGTTTAAATGATACTTAAATTAAAAAAAAATAATAATAATAACAGTGGGTTGGAGATGTTCTTCTAAAGCAATTTATTGGTGAGTTTCTGTTTATTCTGAACTACATGAGCTCAGATTAATTTATAGAAATTCTAATAAAAAAAAGTGGGAGGATCAATGAATATTATTGTCATCTCACTTATTCCTCTACATTGTTGTAGACTTGTAGGATGTAATTTCCTTTCTTTTCATTCACTTTCGTTGTAAATGCTTGAAAATGGGTAGATGTTAAATTCGATTACATCTGCTTGTCTCTGATGAAAAGCTTAGCTTTATAATGAGAATTGTGTATTTGCAGGAGGGTAAGCATTGCAGGTCTAAGTTCTAAGACAGTTTCCCAGCTCGCTGATGCTATACATGCTGCAGTTACCCGTATGGCCTGATCTGGCGATCGACTGCGTTCTTTGTTGAATAATATCTGTATGATCTCTTTTTACATATCAGAGGCGAAAACAATGAAGCATATATTATGTATTATATCTATATATAATTTCTTTACATTTTTCCTGATGCGTTGTTAAACCGATCAAAATGAGGATTGTGGGCCATTAAACAAACAAATAACGCATAACACTTGACTCATCTCTGAACGTACCACATATTGGGCCAAGCAAGCAACCAAGTTCCAATGGTCAAAAAAAAAAAGTTCCTATGGTTAAGTAAAGCTTAGATAACCTCTAGCTTCTTCAAGAAAATGAAAATGGAGTTGCCGATTTCAATACCCGTAGCTATTCCTTCTGATGAATAGATTTTTGTTTTTTTGGTAATTATGTTAAATAGAATTGGACCTCAAAAACGTAATATCTCGGAGTTTCAATGGACAGTATTCAAAAATAAAATTGTACCTTAATTCTATATGTATTTTCATATTTAAGTTTAAAAGTATTTGTAGTTTGTTTTTAAAGGGCCCTTAAATGTAAAGATAATATATGAAAGCAAAATCGGACAATGTGTATTTGCACCTTGCACAACAGGAGGTATCTCTAACCATAATACTATTTTAGTGTCAAAGTCATACTAATTTTGTTTTCTGTTCAACCACAACAACAACTTCACTCTAAAACTATTTTTATATTATTATACTATTAAATTATAGCTTTGTTATTTAATATTTAAAATATAATGATTATTATTATGTAACTATATTACATAAACATATTGTAATATTTAAATAAGATATTTAAATAAATGATTTCAGTACATATAATATTTTATGATAAATATTTAATGTACTACTTTATATGTATTTGTTTTTACTTATCATTTATCTAATTATGTATTTTATTAATAAAATAACTGAATAATGTTTTGTGCTATAAATAGTGTCACATCAAATATGGTGTGATATCATAATGTTTCACTAAATTGGTATAAGTTTTCGTGTTGTGTTATAATACACTAAAATAAAATTTTAGAATTGGGTTATAAATCACCTTAGAACAAGTACTGTTTGTTTATCAAAGCTTCATTACAATTTAATCATCAGATAAACATGTCACAAATAGGGCCAAGCAAGCAACACCAAGTTCCAATAAAATTTTCTAAAAGCATCTCCAACCATAACATCAAATTTGGTGATTAAATTACACCAAATTTGATGTTTTGGTGTCATATTTTTTGTTAACTCCAACCATAGCACCAAATGTTACACTAAAGTAATATTATATATTACTTTATGTTTTAAGTTTTAAAGAATTTTATTATTTTTAGTTGACAAATAATTATTTTATCCACTTAAATATTATGTTTGTTAATTTTTTATAGTTTTATATTTATAAAATTACTTACATTTATATTTTTGGTTTAAAAATGTTAAAATTTCTATATAGTTATTTTATATAAAATATTAGTTATATTACAAAACTATTAATTATGTATTAGCTATTGATTAAAATATCTATATATATATATATATATATATATATTTAAAAGATAAAATATAAGACAATAAACATTTAGTGTTTTTTACTTAAAAACAAAAATTAAACTATTGTAATTACGTAAAAATAACTTTAAAATATAAATGATACAATATATTTATATTTAGTTACAAAATGAAGTAGTTAATAATAATAATTAAAATTTATTATTAAATAAAATATAATAAAATATATATATAAAATATTTGATGCGATGAATAATCTTTCATCAAATTTGGTGAGATAATATATTTTTTAATGTTTCATTAAAGATAAAATTATACCAAATTTGATGTTTTGGTGTCTTATTGGAGTTGGTCTAATAGTTTTAGAATAGCCTTTAGCTTCTCTTTTGGCAAATACAAAACTATCTAGAATGCTTCCTTCCTCACGACTATATGCAATTCTCCCTTTACACCATACTTGGTAATTGAATTCCGTAAGGGATACTTAAGGAATATTTGTTGATTTTATTCTTAAAATTAGTTATCTAGCAGCAACGAGTTCATTTTTGTTTCGATTTCTATCATAACAAAAAACATACTCGAAAAAATGACATTTAATAAAAACATCCTCCAGTCCCATCAGAAGAATTAAAATCAAATAATTATAATATAACATGGACATAAATGACACGTGAACAACAACAAAACTTTATTTCATCCTTATATAAGTTTACCAAAACAAATAATCTCGAGAATTATAAACTAATAACGAACCGGGTAAACAATCGGAAAACATGGCAATTCCGGTTAAGTAGTTTCAGAAGAAGATGGTTGAAACCAAAGACACGATCACGGTGGTGACACCATAACCGGCGAGCTTGTTTCCAACTCCAGTGTCGTTTCCTCTATTTCCTGCTGTAATTATAAACACATACGAGAGAAATGATCAACACAAACAAATGAATTATAGAATATATTTTTATAAACAAAGAAAAAAAAAATTAACCTTTACTCAAAAAAAAAGTAATTAACCTGACACGTTATTGGGTATGACCAAATAATTGAAGTCAATATTGTGTTGGAATGAAAAACTTTTATAGAGATGGAGAAAGTGTTTAAGTGTTTGAAGAGAAAGAAACTTTATGAAGAAGAAAGTCTTTTATAACTTAGAAGAGGAATTCTTATTACTTAGATGATTTCTTGATGATACAAAATGAGAGGGGAGTGGAGGCATTTATAGCCTCCAAAGTACAAAATATCTCAAATATTTTAATCCTAAATCTAGAGAATTCTAGCATAATATCTAGATTATTTTATTCTAATTTATCCTAATTATCTAGATAATTCTATAAGAATATCTAGATTTTTATTCTAAGGAGGTGGAAGAATTCTCTAGAATTTGGGCTAAGTTTAGACCAAAACATGATTAGTGAATTGTTAGCCCAATAATACTTGATCCAAATCAAGTTTAATTTTCAACACCCCCTCTTAAACTTGATTTGGTTACTCCGAGTAAGCTCCTCATCTTGATGAAGTCTTCTCGCTTGAGTGGCTTGGTGAAGATATCAGCTACTTGATCATTTGTCTTCACATACTCCAATTGCACATCCATCTTGGTAACACATTCTCTAATGTAGTGATAACGAGTATCAATGTGTTTGCTCCGATCATGGAAGACTGGATTCTTTGCCAATGCTATTGCCGACTTGTTATCCACAAAGATCTTCGTTGGCGCCTCTTGTGGTAGGCTCAACTCCTTTAGCAAGTTGCGTAACCCAATAGCATGGCAAACACATGAAGTAGCTGCTACATACTCCGCTTCACAAGTTGAAAGAGTAACAATAGGTTGCTTCTTCGACATCCATGTGAAAGCGGTTTCTCCAATGAAAAACACAAAGCCACTTGTGCTTTTCCGGTCATCTACGTCTCCACCCCAATCGCTATCGCTATATCCAACAAGCTTGTAATCGTCAGAAATAGAGTAGTACAAGCCAAAGTTAATTGTACCTTTGATATAGCGTAGGATCCTTTTTGCTGCCTTGAAATGAGTTGTTGTTGGATGCTCCATGTATCGACTCACAACTCCAACTGCATGAAGGATGTCGGGCCTTGTGCAAGTTAGATAACGTAGACTTCCAACTAGGCTCTTAAATAGTGTTNACATTCCATTGGCGTGCAAACTGGATTTGAGTCATCCATCTTGAACTTCTTAATCACCTCTTTAGCATAACCTTCTTGAGTAATGAAGATTCCATTTTCTTCTTGCTTCACTTCGATGCCAAGGTAATATGACATCAATCCAATGTCAGTCATCTCGAACTCCTTTGTCATCTCCTTCTTGAAATCTTCAAACATAATCTGATTGTTGCCGGTAAATATCAAGTCATCCACATACAAGCATGCAATCAATATATCATTATTTTGAGTTTTGATATAAAGTGCATGCTCATATGGACACTTGATGAAACCCTTCTCCTTGAAATACTTATCAATCCGAGTGTTCCATGCTCTAGGTGCTTCAAATTCTCCTCTTAGAGTTTGAAGACGTACCTTCTTAACTTGTTCTGCTCCCTTGTAAGAGGTCCGAAGCTTCTCCCATGCTTCTTTGGACGTCTTTGCTCCAGCAACCTTCTCAAATGTATCTTCATCTAATCCTTGATAGATTAGACAGAGAGCTTTCTTGTCTCTCTTCCTTGAATCTCTCAAACCATCCCTTTGAGTTTGAGATAAACCCTCATCATTCTCTGGTTCAATGAAGCCTTTCTCTACTATCTCCCACACATTATGTGCTCCTAAGATAGCCATCATCCTAAGGCTCCAATTGTCATAGTTGCTCTTTGTGAGCAATGGAATTTGCAAGGGAACACCATTAGTTGCCATCCTTGGCTCTGATACCACTTTGTTGGAATGAAAAACTTTTATAGAGATGGAGAAAGTGTTTAAGTGTTTGAAGAGAAAGAAACTTTATGAAGAAGAAAGTCTTTTATAACTTAGAAGAGGAATTCTTATTACTTAGATGATTTCTTGATGATACAAAATGAGAGGGGAGTGGAGGCATTTATAGCCTCCAAAGTACAAAATATCTCAAATATTTTAATCCTAAATCTAGAGAATTCTAGCATAATATCTAGATTATTTTATTCTAATTTATCCTAATTATCTAGATAATTCTATAAGAATATCTAGATTTTTATTCTAAGGAGGTGGAAGAATTCTCTAGAATTTGGGCTAAGTTTAGACCAAAACATGATTAGTGAATTGTTAGCCCAATAATACTTGATCCAAATCAAGTTTAATTTTCAACATATTGGAGACAAAAGAAAGTACAAGAAAAAGCTGGCATTCACACTCTAACATTTTTTTTTAAGATAAGAAAAGTTCGGGAAAATATAAAAATGTATGTGTTCTTCTAACAACATACTGTATGATTCTACCACTAAACTCCGGTTAATCAATCGAATAATGAATAATGAATAAAATGGGATAATTCTTCAAACAAGACTTCAAATTTAATTATAAAAATTAATAACCTAATAAAATATCTGAGAAAAAATATAAGTAAAGAAGCTTAATTTATACCTGGAGGAGGTAAAGAAGCTTTTGGTGATGAAGCTCCAGTACCTGAAACATAAATAAAAAACATTATTTCTAATGAATACTTAATAAATTAAAAAATCAGAGAGATCTGAATAAAGTACCAGAACAAGCGGAGAGATCAGTGGTGACGTCACATCGACGGCTGAGATTGAGAGCTTGTGCAGTAGTGACGTTGAACCCAGAGAGCAAACCAGGAGTGTTGTAGACGGTGCATAGACATGGAAGCTCATCCTCCACCGCTTCCTTGATGGAGTCACAACAATCTTTTGGTGGCTTCGTCGTCGTCGTCAGAGCACTGAAGCAGGGGACTAGCTTGCTCACGCACGTCGTAGCCGGTTGCGCTTCCACATCTGGCAATGAAACTAAAGCCATCACCGACATGACCGCCGCAAAGATCATCGTTGCCGTCGAGGAGTGACGCGTCATTTCTTTCTTCTCTCTTTCTAACGGAGGACCGTGTTTCTTTTAGGTTTGGTGTTACTTTACTTGTGACTTTTGGTTTTGCTTTTGTTCGGTTTTAAATACTACAAAGTTGCTTAAGGTGGAGACCTTTCGTCATTTTTTATTTATTATCTACACTATTTAATTTATATATGTGTGTGTCTTTTCTTTAAAAATAAACATTCCGTCTTTTGAAACAATTATCTATATATCTCCCATATATTTGACGAAGGAAAATTCAATGTTTTACAGGTAACTTACAAATTTAACTGAAAATGATGTTTCTTGTTTACGCGTTTTTATTTAAAGCAAATGCTATCCTCCATATATAAAACCGTAGAAAATTTTCAATATTTGATGGGTAAATTATAAATTTCACTGACAATGATGTTTCTTGGTATTATTGAAAATGATTTTTCCTGTAATTTTCAAAAACAGAATGATGTTTCTTATCACTAGTTGTCATTTGACTTAAATGTCTAGATTCTTAGACGACTTGGTACCATTCTTGTACAATTCAATTTGTAGACATGCATATGCCGATACGCTATCTATCAATTTATAGAAAATATAAACAATACATAAATACACGATTAGGCATTCAAATTGAATAGATCTATGTGATAGAATAGAAGTAAAGCGTTGAAACCGTCAAACTGATTTAGGCTGTTATGTGAATCAGTGTGTTGATTGATGGTCCTAGCCGGACTAGGCGGTCATATACAACCATTCAATTCTTTTTCATTCAAATTCCAAGATTTCGATAGTAAAATATTCGTATTCACAAATACATCGTCAACAACGTGTCAAAGTTGTGACCCAAAACATGAACCTCTCTTTCAAAAAAAAGTTAACATGTTTTGTTTAAATCGTCGGGTATAGTTTAATTATTACTCCCTCCTTTTATATTGAATGTTGTTGTAGATAATTTTTTCGTTACTAAATTAGTATCGAAAACGACTTTTAATACAAAATTTATTAACTTTATTATGTAATTTATTTTTTTATTGGTTAAAATATGATTATGTGTATAGATAATAATGTTTTTATATAGAAAATATACAAAATTAATTGTTTCATTAATTCGTATGTACAAGTGTAAAATGATATTTATAATGAAACATATAGACTATTATTTTTGTTACAGTCTGACAAGTTAAATTTAGTTGTTCTTATATGATTGGTAATTTGATTAATTTTCTTGTTAATCGTGTTTAGAGCATCTCCAAAAGACATTCTATAATTTCAAATATGAAGTTTTTCACTCTATAAAAAGAAACTCTAAAACTTCAAATATGAAGTTTTGAATAGTGAAATTTAAAATATAGAGTATCACTACTCAAAATTTCAAATTTAAAGTTTCATGTTTTTATTTGCATTGTGGCACTTACAATTACTTATCATATTTATAATCCTTAAATATTTTTTTGTTTATCGTTTTAATCCTTAAAATTTCTTATTTCGTAAATATTTCAAAAATATCTTTTTATAAATTTAAACTTTACACATATTTTCAAAAAAAAATATCAAAATAAGATTTAAAATATTTTAAAACTAGAACTAGACAACAACAATATTACAAGATTTGATGTGGTGTTTTGTTGGTAGTTCAATTAATATTGCTGTAATATATTTATAAATGTACTAGGTATTTATAAAATTTCTATGAATTTGAATTAGTTGTGATAAATATAAGGATCATAGTATAAAATACAAATAGTTTTGAAGTTAATTTTAAAGTTTTGTTTTTGGAATATAAGACTTTTACACTTTAAATATAGAGTTTTACAAACTCTAAAATAGAAAGTTTTTAGAGATGTTCTTATATAAATTACTAGTGGTTTGTCCGCGCTACGCGCGGATTTTTTGCTATTTGTTCTATACAATTTTTGTGTTTGGTCTTCTCATTTCATGTTCTTTTTGAATAATATATATGTTGAGGCGTTTGTTTGAATAGAGGAAACCCTTATATACTATATCTTTTAATCACAGTTTCTTTATTCTGCATTTTAGTTTGTCTTATTGTCTCGANTTTTTTTGTTTTGTTATCATGTTTAGGAGTAAATTAAGAATTCTTATACTTTTTTGGTGAAGACATACAAAGTTCCATAGATTTTACCCATATACTTAAAAATGGAAACTATGTTTCTTGGGGAATCTTCTAAACTACGGGAGTCTATTTGTCTCCAACATTAGTAGTAGGAGGACGTGGGTCAGTGACAAAAAAAAAAAAAAACAGTAGGATGACGTTAGATAGATAACAAATTTTAGGCTTGTTTGTGGATGTTTAGGACAGCGGAATTAAGAGCTATGATGAGGAATAGTTTGAAGAAATTTTAGAATATAGATGCTATTTTCAAAATGTTTTACTCTATGAACCAAGCTGTGTACTTAAGGAAAATAGTAATTCTTGTATTAAAAAAACATGTGAGGATGAACCTCTGTCTCTGTGGCGTTTAATCTGAAAACAAAGCAATCTATGTGTCTTGTCTCAGCCATTTTGATGACAGTAGCTGACATAAGATATTCATAGCAATGTGGTTGTCCTCTGATTTGTATTCAGTGTGTTGATTTGGCCGTTATTTTTCAAAACAGTAGTGCTGTCCCAAGCTGTTACCTGCAATGCAATGCTGCAGAGAAAACGTTATTTTAAAAAACAGGAATGCTGTCCCAAGTTGTTACCTGCAATGATGCAGAGAAAGTGAGGGAATATATATAATTGTATTGATTGAATTTGCATTCTTAGGGAAGGTTTATACGTGACTAACTTGACCTGAGATTGCTGAATATCTCTCGGTAGATAATATTTGTGACAACATCTTTTCAGGTTCTACCTTCTGTGTCATCAAGTATTTAAGTCCCTCCGGCGTTGTGTCTCGTGAGAGAGCAATATACAATTGGCCATGACTGAAATCTGGTCTTGGGAGATAGAGAGCGACCTGTTTAAGACTCTAGCCATGGCTCTTATCATTCCCGTCTTGAATGGATGCATAGTATCGTTTGGGGATAACTGCATCATAGTAACGGTCAATGTCTTTTGCTCTAGTAACTTGTATGTTTTAGGATCGTGTGACCGTTCCGCAGAGTTCTCAAGTAACCGTCCATGTTTTCCCATATTTACGAAAACAGAGGATGTTATATAAAGAGAAGTAATGGTGGAGACCTGATGATCTTCACCTAAAGTCACCATCCACCAGGAAGATGAACGTTCGACTTCCATCCTAGGCCCTGCGAAGGAGTTACCTTGAAGACAAAAAATAAGTCGAAATCATATAATTAAAACTGAATATACTCGTAGAAGCAAGAATATTTTTATAGTTCAAGCGAAGTTCCAATCTTATAAAAGAACAAGCTCAGGTGGACCATAGCCCGTAGGTTTTTGAAGCTAAAGCCTCTGGATCAGTAAATCTTAAAGGGGGGCTGGTGGATGTAATGATGCTTTTCTGTTAACGTAAGAAATTCAAAGTATAAGGAACTCTTGGTCCAGTAAAGAGGATTCTTGCAAGACGACTTCAACAATCTCCTTTACAAAATCACAAAGTCAAATTTAACAAACTTTAAAACACAATCTGTAAATCATTTCGCAGATCTACACAAACCAAAATCGATATATATTTTTGAAAAACCTTTTCTGCAAAGCCTTTCAGAGATCTATAGAAACAAAGACAGATATATATTTTCCAGAAACCCTTT